GCTTTGCTCTGGCAAAGTCTCAGAGGCGCGGGATCCCGCCGCGGCTGCGGCTTCGCTCCCGGTGTCTCTGGTCTGCTGGGGACGGTCTCCAGCAGACCAGGGGCACCGGGAGCAGTTTTTCTCACCCCAGAGGTCAAGGTGGCGGATCGCTGCCTGCGAGCTCCGGGGCGAGAAAGCCCCGTTTGTAAGTGCGGATCCGACATAAGTCGGATCCGCGTAAGTCGGGGACTGCCTGTACTTGACTTGACAACCTCCTAGTCATCTTCATATTGTCTATTGTTTACGATTCAACCAGTTGATGACAAAAAGCTCAAATAATATTAACAAAAATTTTGTTTAAGCATTTCTCAGTTAATACAGAGAAAATTATTTGTGTGTGTTCTATCTATAAATAAAGCACTTATACGTCTGCTCATCTTCAATATATTTTGTATCATTATTTTCATCAGTGTCACATAGACCAATATAGTCCAAGTAATTTAACTGTGTTAAGTTTTAAGTGCAATTTCAGTTTTACTACAACTTTCAATTATTAATATTACTACTGCTACAGTAAAAGAAAATTAAATTTAGCTTACCAAAGTATTTGTAATGTTTTCCAACCTGACTAGTGTGACCCTCTTTTTGTAAGACAGATCACGCCAGCAGTTTGTCTCCTTGGTGAAAGATTTAGGATGTACCTCAGTAATCCTAGTTAGACCCCTGCCTAGTATTTTGATTTTGTTTCTGAAGTGTCTGTCTGTCTGTCTCTCTCATGTGATTCTGAAATCTTTTTATTGGCACCAGATTCAGTAATGCAAATAGACCTCCACTGTGAAGCCTACAATATAGAATATACACGTGACTATACAGAGAAAGAGAACTGTCTCTTCCCTTGTTCCTGACAGGAGCTTGTTTATCACCGTCTGATGACCAGCTTTAACTCACATACCTTAAGAAAACAGTGACAGAAATGTAGCCGTGTTAATCTGGTGTAGCTGAAACAAAATACAGGACTATGCAGCACTTTAAAGACTAACAAGATGGTTTATTAGGTGATGAGCTTTCGTGGGCCAGACCCACTTCCTCAGATCAAATAGTGGAAGAAAATTGATCTGAGGAAGTGGGTCTGGTCTGTGAAAGCTCATCACCTAATAAACCATCTTGTTAGTCTTTAAAGTGCTACATAGTCCTGTTTTTTGCTTAAGAAAACAGTTTTCAGTACAGATATATAGTTCTTTAAACATTAGCCACACATACATTTTGAAATAACTGATGGTACCAGTGGCTATTGGCTCCTGGTAAAGACATCATATGCCACCATGAATTAATCAAACAGAACACCACATAGTTAAGGGTTAATGTGAATAAGCAGGCTTCTGAAGACAAGATCCTGTGTTAGCTGCACGCATGTTGATTTTGCTTATCAGAAGGGGAAGAGGAAAGAAAAGAATCCACAATTTGAGAAAAAGAAAATAAGTGGATGAAAACCTTGAATTTGGGCACTTTGATATAGAAGACTGCTAGGAATGCTTGCTGATAAGAAGTTTGATGCATAGTGTTTACAAGGTGAAGTCAGACTTTCCCTCTAATAGCTGCTTCCACGTGCTCTGTGGTAGCATGAGCCTGGGCCCCAGACTATAGAACAGGGAACCCCATCTCTTCTGGGCTCTGAATGATCCCCCTGACCACACCCACACATTCTGCATAAGAAGCTGCCTGATTTGAAACCAGCGGGAAAAGACTGGATGTGATCATATAATTAAAGATGGTTTCACAATGCATAT